ATCTTGTCATCTCCATAACAGTTGCCCTCCCAACCACACACAGCAAAATAAAATGAAATACAGAACATTATAGAACCCACCAAAACAGAACACTGAACAGAGTAGTACCATCATCAGAACAAAGCAGAACAGTAGTAAAAACATTTGCCTTCAGAGAGATAGTAAAACGAAATCCCCCCCGCACTCAATACATTGTACACAATCAGCCTCCCAAGACATGCCCAGATCTCTGGCCCCCATTTGCCAGTTGGGGGACAAAGGAAGTGGGATGTCTGGCTGTCAGCCCATGTACCAGTATGCTAACTATTGCTTAGCAGGGAGGCAGGCTGGTTGCTTGATTTCCCAGTGGCCTAAGTTCCAACATGGTGCAGATCTCAGGAGACACTGGTTGTTCTCTCCCTGGAGGGGCTGCAGCTGGCCACACCACAGCTGCTTACCAGGGAGGCAAGCTGGTTGCTTGGTTTCCCAGCACCCTACATTCCAACATGGTATGGATCTCAGGAGTTGTTTACCTCATATTTCTTACCCCTTCATCTGTCTATATTCTCTGAGACTCCATATAGTGGATTAACTGATGGGCAACTTGTGACACCCAACTAAACTGAATCAGCACGGTGCTGGGTGTGGATGAGCCACCTGAGGATTATTGCCAACAGCATAAAAAGAGAATTGGAGGGTAAAATGGTGCACTGTTGATCCTCCTGGAGAAGTTTGTCGCACTGGCTTTCCTATACGAACTCAGCTATCACTGGAGGAGTCTGGGTTTTTGCTGTCACTAAGGATGGCTGCAGTTCTTTTAGGGAGAGCTCCGGTCCTCATTTTGAGCATCACGTCCTGGCTCCTGTGCATATCCCTCAGCCTGTTGGCACAGATCCTTCATCCTGCTGGTACAGACTTTCTACAACTGACCTTTGGCCTTCTCAGTGCAGATCTTTGTTATAGACTTGTATGAGACACTGTCGTGGGCTCTGGGCCTCCAGCTGGACTCATGGAGAACACTGCCACGGGCTCTAGGTCTTCAGGTAGACTCATTTAGGACATTGCCTTGCGATCCAGACCCTCAGCTGTATTCTTTGGGTCTCTAGTGTGTGGACAGATAGATCTCTCTCACTCTTTTGCATTTGACTCTGGATATTATAATCTTATAAATTATGTGTCCTATATTAAATCCTTGTAAACCCTGACTATATGGACTATTCCCCTGTAAACACTCCAATTATAGACTATTAGATTTTTGGCCCACAGTTCTTACATGCTCTGTGCTGTTTCCCTGCCACTACTTTCTTCCTCTTTGTGTCTTAGAGAATCTCTAGTGACCTCTCAAGATCACTGATTATTCCTTCAGCTCTATCAAGTTTCCTGAAGAAATTCTGATATTGCAGGTTTTCTCCTCTAGTATTTCCATTTGACTCAACCCATTTCACTGCTGAGGTTTCCTATTTATAACTCCCCACCTCATATGTTAATATCTTAGACTGTTGCAACATGTTTCATGTCTGAATTTTTTATTGAATGACAAACATCACATGTCTAACAGAAGGAATGAGTAGAGTATACTTGGAAATAGTTTCAATCATACTGTGGTTGTTACTATGTTCAGTACACTATAGGACCCTCATTCATCCAGATAATAGCTGTTGTCGCCTTGTATTTAAAGTAGACCTTGATTGCGGCACAATTTTTGACTTCCACACTCAATTTGCAGGGATCCCTATAGACTGACACCAGAAAGAAGGCAGACTTACATTTTTTTGGTACTAGAGATCAAACTCACCACCTTACGCTGCCAGGCAGGTATGCCCAGCGCTACACTTAACGTTCTTGCTGCCTTCTTAACAGACCAGTGTTCCTCAGTACTTGGTGGCTATTTGGCTCCATGGGGACAGGAAGTTTCTATTGACCTTAGCTGACCTGTCACGGGGAGGCTTTTTGTCTGGCTTTCAGGAGTAAGGCTTTCTCAATATTCCAGCCCCATTTTCCCAACAGTGGCCAAACTACCTTAAATCCATTGTTGGTCTTCTGTGAGAATTTCAGGTCCATCCCTCTGGAGCAGAATAGGTAGGATCCTAGGCCTCAACTGTTAGTCTTTGTTATGTCCAGGGAATCTGGGGTCTACGGGTCCCCATGCTCACCCTTGCCAGTTTTAGCTCTTTTTCTCATATAGAAAAAAGGAGTCAGAGAAGACCAGTGCAAAGTGAAGTAATTTTGTTCTAAGTTTTACAAGAAGCAGTAAAGAGCCATTTGAAACTGGGCACACACCTATAATCCTAGCACTTGGGAAGCTGAGGCAGGAGGATCCTTGCAAGTTTGAGATGAGCCAGGGATACAAAGTGAGCCCAAGGCCAGTCTGAACTGCATAGTGAGACCTGTCTCAAAAAGACCAAAAAAGAAAAAGCCATTTCATAGTAGTGAGGGCACCCAGAGTTGAGGCACTAACAAATTTTGAGTTGTGGTCTCATTTTATGGGATAGGTGCCCATTTTATGGCGTAGGGGCCATGTTTCTAGGTGCTCTGAGGGTTACTGCTTGGTTACCGGACTTGTTGCTAGGGGGCTAGATTTGGTGGGCCAATGAGACTTTTGAGGGTAGAATTAACTTACTTGGTGATTCTGTGGGACAGTGAACCTGCACAAGCCAGTCTCAAAACCACAGGACACAGCTCAGCTGCTTGCTGAGAGCTGCAGTTCCCTCCCTTCTACTTTTTTAAAGGGCCCAGTCCCCTAACCTAACCCTACCTACAGAATCCAACTGTCCCTGCCCCTCCCCAAAGGCCAATTTTTGCCTGTGATTCTTCTCTAGTGCAGTAATTAGTCTTTACCTGTCCTGAAGGCATAGTATTTCCTTCCCCTCACAGGCAGGCAGACAAGTTCTGTCAATGATTTTCCCTCAGATGCAATGGATTTTTGCCTTGGGGTTTTATGGTTTGTTGCTCCAATCCACAACACCCTAAGGCTTTTGCATCTTTCAGAAGGAGGCTATGGGAGTTGGGCGTTTCATACCTAACCCTCATCACCTCCTGGCACAGTGCTGCTGTGGTGGGGCAGAGGATGAAGCATTACTTGGAGCCACGTTCACTTTAAACTCCAGGAAGGAGACTGCATTGTGAGACTCATCAGCGTAGGGGTCTCAGAAAAGCAGCACCTCAGAAAGCCCTGGCTTTTTATTTGTAACCCAAGGGCATGAGAACAAAGGTACAGAAGACAAACAATTGCATAGGAATTTTGGTCAGAGGAAAGGGAAAGAACAGGACAGTCTGCTGAGCAAGCATGTGCAGGAATGAGGGACACAGTGGCTGGAGCAATCAAGGAAACCTTTGTTTCTAACTGCCTTGCAGATCTGCTCTCACCTTGAACCACACCTTCCAGGAGCCCTGGGCTGCCTCTGCCTCAGGGGTTCCTTCACCCATGCACACATTTCAGTCACTCCCGCAGCCAGTGTCCCCACAATCTCCTACAGGCCTGAACCACCGATCAGAACTTTCTCATGGTCTTTCCTGCCCCAACACTTCATGTGGGCACCCAGTGTAAGCCACTGGGAAACAACTTGTGATGACATACAAAGTCCCCTGATAGTCTTACAGATACTCCAAAAAGATACACCATGGCTGGTCAAACCTGTAATCCCAGCACTCAGGAGGCTGAGGCAGCAGAATCACTGAGTTTGAGGCCAGCCTGGGCTGTGAATTAAGTTCAAAGCCAGCTTGAACTGCACGGTGAAACCCTGTCTCAAAAAAAGGAAAAAGAAAAAAGAAAAGATATATTAACCTACCCATAGAATTTTGAGGATTTGCTAAAGCTGAGTAAGGCTGCACACACTACTCTAGAAGGCTGGGGCAAGATTGCAAGTTTAAACCCAGGCCAGTTTAGTAACTTGGCAAGACCTGTCTCAAGCTCTAAAGCAACAAAAGGCTTGTGATGTAGCTCAGTGGCAACGTCCTGCCTTCAAGCCCTAGTACCCAAAAGTAAAAAGTATGGTGGCCACTTCAAGATGAAACAATTTGTGTGTCCCATCTGTCTTGAAAGATTTAGCATTCTCTGAGATCTAGTTGGGGTTTTCTTTTGCCCTGTGATACCAGTTTGATTTGCCCAAAAGAGTTGAAGTTTTGTAGATTATACTTCTCCCCCTTATTAAACTGGTACCATCTCTCGATGCTTCTATATCTTCTTCAGAACTCTCATCACTAAAGTTGATTTTTTGTTATTCTCTTAAAACAGTATTATTTCCACAATTGCAGCTACTAAAAATGGCAACCATTTTGTCTCTCTCACTAGATATTTACCTCATGAAAACCTACAAAGCACTTCATAAGTATTCCTCGGAGACTGGGCTCACTCCAAAAGTACCAAGAGTCTCTACATAAAACAGCATAGAATTAGCATGTAATCTACACATGGTGTCCTGTACACTTTATCATCTTCAGATTATTTAATACCTAAACAATTAGTACCTAAGACATTTAAATGCCGTACAAATAGTTGTTAAACTGTATTGTTCAGGTAATAATGACAAGGAAAAAGGTCTAATATTCAGTATAGATGTAAATTTTTTAACTTTTGATCCATCACTAGCTGAACCCATGTTTTTGTAACTCACGGGAGGGTCAACTGTATATCAATTCATTATTTGAATTCCTTATATAGTGGTACCACAGTTCACAAACTTAATTCTTTCCAAGATTCTGCTGCAAACCTAATTGGATGACAGCTGACTCAGATTTTTCCGTAAGGTCAACATGTCCTAACTACTGCATTTGATTCCGCTCTTGTCCAATTTTGCAACCAGAATTGTAGAATTAAGTTTATGAGCCAGTTACCTCTGTACCTAGGTTCAAAGGTAAATTAGAGAATTATATTTTGAATTGCCTGTTTGGTTTTCATTTATAATCTGTATGGAGAATTTATTTACAGTGTCACCTTTCAAAACTTAAAGAACAAATGATTAAAATATACACCGAACCCACTCTTTAATTAAGCTTTAAGAAAAGTTGAATAAACAGCAAAATATAGATCAGTAATTTTTTTTATTTTTCTCTTACAAAAAGACAACTGGAACAAATAAATATAAACTGGTATATATGTCATACTCATCAAGGGCCAAATACATTTTCTTGGTAGTTCCCACAGAAATAAACTAATGAAACTGTCAGAAGCATACTCATCCTACCCACCATCTTTAAAAAAACAAAAAGGAAAAAAAGGTCAACTCTTTTAATTCTCCACAATTTTTAACAATGAATTTTCATGTACTTACTCTCAGACTACTCAGGTTATCAAGACATCTAAATCAATAAATTTTAAAAAAATATGTATTCTCTCTCATAATATGATGTTGCCCAGAAACTCCAACTAATGAGTATTCTTACAACTTTTCATTTCTTACAATTTGCATGAAGTATCTGTTTAAATCTGCATGGCAAATAAAACAGAAAGCTGAGTAGTATGTATAGTCCCTCACATATTCCAAAGACATTAAATAAAGTGTATTTAACACACAATAAACAACGAATCCTGATTTCCCATACCCTGGAGGTAATGTGAAAGGCAGACAAATATAAAAACTATTTGTGACCAAATTTAGCTAGTAAGATACACCCTGCCTATTTGGTTCACAATAATATACCAAAGTTTGAGCAAGGATGAATACCCAAATTTATCTTCAAGATAATACCTAAAATGTTTTGCAAATATTTTCAATTAAATGTTCTTATTTAATAGGTTTTCCATCGTGTGGAAATATGTACAATGACTTCAAGTCAAATAAAAGCATTTTTTTTGCCTTCCTGCTCTTCAAAAATTTGTAAAAATCTACTTCAAGTAATTTCTTAGTTGGTACTTACATGATTTTCCACTTATAAAGAATATCCAGAATGGCAGAAAAGAATATAAAATGTTTAAAGGGTCATCTCTAAAAGAAAAGAAATTTTCTTTTGTATACTCAATGTGCTGCCAGGCCAGTGTGAAGAACACCTACAGGTGGGAGAGCTCTGGCATCCAGACAACCACACTCACAAGCACGTACAAGGGCTTGCATTCTCCGAAACACTAGGTTTTCCTGGTTCTGTATCTAAACCTTTGTTTGTATCACAAAGCTAATTTAAAATTAGAAGGTAGACACATTTTTAAGATTTTGTGGGTGCATTAAACTATGAGATCAACTTCCTTCATGACAAGCAAAATTCTCCAGAAGTGTGACTAGATGTCAGAAAGCCCAAAGCAAAGAGCCATGCATCAACATGCATGATTGGGGATCCTAGGAAAGTCACATGGCATTGGGATTCACCGATTTAAATCCAACTCCTCCCAGTAAGAGACAGTGTTTCATGATGGACGCAGATTCTGTCTGCTTCCCATGAGATGTACACACACCACTCCTGCTGCAGACTATTTGTGATCATTTACAAGTACAAATTTAACTCCAGAAAATATAAACATATAGTACGAATTTGAAGATACACAGTACAAACAGGAGTTAAGTGGAACCTGCCTGCAACAATCTTTTATTTTTTCCTTAAAGGTGACAGAAAATCTGCACACAAACAAAACAATTCTCATAGTAAAAAAAACTCCCCTACAAATAGCCAAGGTGTCCAGTCAGATTCCGCAGTGAGTATATGCTGTATCACACTCTATTCCACAGGTATGCTTTCTTGGGAGTTTGCAGGGGTAGGATCAGCTTTTTCTGGAAATACTAGCTTCTCACAAACTGCTTCCTTTATTGGTAAGTACTGTGATATTTCATTAGGTTCCGTGAAGAGGGAAGGTGGAACATGCTAGAAAATGAATAAATTATATTAGCATATATTCAATTACTGCACTGACACTTTTTGAAAATGTTTTGGTTTAAACCTTTATAAAACATGCCAATTTCAAAATCAGGTGTAATATGTGCAAATGAGCATCATTAAATGCGCCTCAAAATAACAGGTGTTTCCTATTACTGAGCGATTTTTTAAAACAAGTTATGAATGCTCCCACAGATGTTGTAACAACTTAATACATCTTAATTCAATCCTTGTTTCCTGTTGCTTTCGTAGCTTGGAAGAACTAGTCTTTATTTAGAGTCCAGTATGTAACCTACGATGAAAACTCATCAACTTTTCTAATGCAAGTACACAACCTCTATGCCTGGGCTGAAATACTATGGGTAAAAAAGAATTCCCAGTGTATGAAAGTAATACTCACTAGAAAATTGTAAGTAAAAAGGAAGTCCTGCCAAAATAAACAAGTCATGATACACAGCTATCATATTTTGGAAAGGCAAAAAGGAGACCATACACAAAAAATTGAAGTAAGGTATTTAGGGGGGAGAATATTCAATTGGTGCCAGCTATCGTTCTACTACTGCTGTGACTCAGGTTAAATCATACTTCTGGACCACAGCTTTTCCACAATAAAACATGGAAATTAGACTGAATGACAGCTAATATCTAACAACTCCAAGATGTTCTTGTATTTGAAGCAAGCTCAGAAAAGTTATGCTCCAACAGTATTTATCTTATATAGCTAAAATGAATTAATGATGTAAATTAAAAATTAAAATTATGATGTAAATTTAGTTAAATGATATAAATTTAGTTACAATGAAGCATTACAGTTCAGATCTAAAAACTGAAACTTCAGCACTAGCTATTATAACATCTTGTTTTCCTCAAAATAACTGTTCAGGGGCTGGAGATTTAGCTCAGTGGCATAAGCGTCTGCCTTGCAAGCAGGCCGTCGTGAGTTCGATCCCCGGTACCAATAAAAAAAAGAAAAAAAAAATGTTCATACCATCACAGACAATAAAATCAAACAACCCAGAATAAAACCATTCCAATTAACTAATGAAAACATTATAGGTTTCAAAGCAATATAATGGGGAATCATGATTACCACATACTTTTATGTATTCTTACCACTTCTTATACTAGGGAAACTATTTGGTATTTATATACGAGTTTGATTTATTTCGCTTATGAGTATGGTCTCAAGCTATGTCCATTTATTTATAAATATCTCACTGTGATCCTTCTTTATAGCTGAGTAGTACTCCATTATATAAAAATACCACAACTTTTTTATCCATACCTCAGTTGATGGACACTTAGGTTGTTTCCAAGATCTGGCTAATACAAATTGTGCTGCTGTAAACATGGGTGCACATATATCACTGTGGTATGATGTTTTCACTTCTCCTGGAATATGCCCAGAAGTGGAATAGCTGGAACAAATGGGACTTCCAATCCTAGATTTTTGAGAAATCTCCAGACTGACCTCCACAATGGTTGCACCAGTCTACATTCCCACCAACACTGTAGGAGAGTTCCTTTTTCCCCACAGCCTCTCCAGCATTTGTTGGTGGTGGTTTTCTTGATCCTGGCCATTCTTCCAGGAGTGAGATGGAATCTCAGTGTGGTTTTAATTTGCATTTCTCTAATGAGTAATGATGATGAACATTTTTTTCATGTATTTATTTGCCATTTGTATTTCTTCATCTGAGAAGTGTGTATTCATCTCAGATGCCCATTTTTGCTTTTGTTTTTGTTTTTTTTGTCTTTTTCGTTTTTATCGGTACCAGGGGTCGAACTCACGACTGCCTGCTTGCAAGGCAGGCGCTTATGCCACTGAGCTAAATCCCCAGCCCCGTCAGATGCCCATTTTTGAATTGGATCTTTGAATTTTGGGGGTCTGATTTTTTTTAATTCTTTGTATGTTTTAGACAGAAGTCCTTTGTCTGAGAGACAGTTCACTAAGATTTTTTTCCCAGTTTGTGGGTTTTCTTTTCACTATACTGGAGATTTCTTTTGACATGCAAAAACTTTTTAGTAAGAGGTGATCCCAGTTATTGATTCTGGGAAGTATTTCCCGTGCGGTTTGATTCCTGTTCATGAATTCTCTACCTACCCCTACGTCTTCAAGATTTTTACCCAATTTGTCTTCCAATAAATTTAGTGTTTCTGTTTTAATATTCAGATCTTTGGGGGCTGGGGATTTAGCTCAGCGACATAAGTGCCTGCCTTGCAAGCAGGCAGTTGTGAGTTCGACCCCTGGTACCAATAAAAACGAAAAAGATAACAAAAAAAAATTCAGATCATTGATCCATTTAGATTTTAATTTAGTACATGGTGATAGGCATGAGTCTAGTTTTAGTTTTCTCCATATGAAGAACCAGTTTTTCCAACACCATTTATTAAAGAGACTGTCATTCTTCCAGTGAACCTTTGGCCCTTTTATCAAAGGTAAGGTGGTTGAGTGTGTTTATAGTTGTGGTTGTATCTTCTAATCTATTCCATTGATCTTCGGCTCTGTTTTGATTCCAGTACCATGTTGACTTTACTACAGATGCTTTGTAGTATAACTTCAAATCAGGGATTGTGATGTCTCCTGCCTTGCCTTTGCTGCTTAGAACTATCTTTGCTATTCTAGGTCTCTTCTGGTTCCAGACGAATTTTAGGAGTGATTTCTCTAGATTTATGAGGTATGTTGATAGTATTTTTATTGGGATTACATTAAATCTGTATCACAGTTTTGGGAGAATGGCCATTTTCACAATATTTATTCTTTCTATCCATGAGCAAGGGATATCTTTCCATTTTCTGAGATCCTCTTCAATTTCTTTTTTCAGTGTATTATAATTTTCGCCATATAGATCTTTTACTTCTTTTGTGAGAATAATTGCTAAATATTTCATTTTTTTAGTTGCTAGCGTGAAGGGTGTGGCTTCTTTTATTTCTCTCTGTGATTTTGTTGTTAGTGTATAAAAATGCTATTGATTTTTGTGTGTTGATTTTGTATCCAGCTACATTGCTGAATTTATTTATTATATCTAGGAGTCTTTCAATGGAGTTTTAGGGGTCTTCTATGTAGAGTATCATGTCATCCACAAATAATGACAATTTAACTTCTTCTTTTCCTAACTTTACCCCTTTTATTTCTTTCTCTTGTCTAACTGCTCTGGCTAGGATTTCCAGTATATATTAAATAGGAGTGGTGATAAGGGACATCCTTGTCTTGTGCCTGATTTTAAGGTAAAGGCCTTGTTTTGAAGGCCCATCAAGCTTCTGTTTGTCTGTCTACATCGGTTTTATCATGTTGTATCTTACTGGATTTTATTATATGTGATAGTATAAACAAATTTTTTTTTATAGTCAAGGAGATAATACAGAAACCGTTGTTCACTTTCTGCTAGTTGGTTCTCAATACCCTGTAATACTTTTACCCTCTTGAATGGTTTTACACTGTCTTGTTATGTTTGATAGTATATGAAGGCATACTCAAATATTTCAAGGAAAGGGACACTATGGTAACTACTGTTATGTTGGGTTATCCTGTGGTGAAATATTATGTTACTTAAATTGTTCTGTTCTGACCTGTATTGTTATGTCCTCTTTCATCTTAAATCTCCCTCTTTTATATATATATATATATTTTTTTTTAAATTAAAAAAGCACAAAAAAAAACCCTGAAACTTAAAATACTTACCGTTAAATTAGATATTTTGCTCTCTCGTGAAGTATATTCTCGTAACATATAGGTCTTGTCAGCCTATATTTAAAAATTTAAAAGTTGCAATAAATTTACTAACATTTATTTTTAACATTAACTCAGTCTCTTCTATTAAACAGATTGTCCACATTGGAATAGACTAGAAGGGTAGCGTGAAGTCTAATAAAAATATCTCACTCTACACGGAGATAACTCCATTAAGCCTTATCAGGAATTTTGAAGTATAATTTCTAATCCCTATGAATCATAGTAATTCTAGATACACATATGAAAATACATTAAGCAAAGATTTCGCTTTGAAAGAACATGTGTAAGATACACAAAAGATTTATTATTATGTACTTCAAAGTTTGGAATTAAATATTTTCCTCAAGCTATATTATCATCTACCTATATAAAGTAACAGGCTACGTCTACATAAAAGCTTTAAATTTTTATTCTCAAAAAAATAAAAATAAGCACGATTTTATTCTTCTCCACCCTATTTCCACAAATCGCTTGCTAAGTTCCTTACTTAAAATCATCTTTTTTTTTTTTTATCGGTAGTGGGGATTGAATTCATGAGTGCCTGCTTGCAAGACAGGCACTTATGCCGCTGAGCTAAATCCCCAGCCCGAAAATCATCTTTTCTATATTTACTTTTTATCCCGTAAGATTTTAAAAATTACGATGAAATGACAATTTATTATAATCTTATTTTCAGTGAACATTTCAGTAAAAGAAACTTATACCCCTAAAAGACAATATGCCTTTAAGGTGTCGATCTTCTATATCAATAAAATCAAATTATTGCTCGTTGTGAAAAAATCAAATAATAAAGTACAAAGGAAGGATAAATCAGCAATCACAGATCTTACTGATAACATCCTCTCATGATTTACTTTTTTTTATTTTGATGAAAGAAAAATAAATATTACAATCAAATTGAGTTTCAGAACAGGTTAGCAGGACTGTTAGAATAGTTGACACACTGTTCAGAGTACACCCTCATGAATTCTAAACATACAATTTCTTTCATATTAGAAATCCCTACATAAAATCTTACACAAATGGATACATACTCACTTTTTGAAATTCAACACTAAGATAGACATCTTTCCAAATTAAATATAATTCACAGCCGTAAATTTTAGTGGTTATACATTTTTCTACTACATGGACACAAAAGTAGGCACTTTACTGGGCACTAGCTCCTTCTTCCTTCCCTTTTGCTATCGTAAGCAGCACTGTTGTGAATGTTCATGCACATACAATTCTGAGCCTTCGCCCGGGTTAGTATTTGTAAATTATTCTATAGAAGAATCATTTTTAGGATAAAATCCCAAAACTCAGCATGACTAAAATAGTATCTTTAAGATTTGTATTTTTTTAAAAAAGATTTATATTGCACTCTTTCTGGGGGACAAAAATGGCAATACTTTGCCTCTACTTTTAAAAACGAAAAGAGCTGGCCATGGTGACACGTGCCTGTAATCCCAACACTCAGGAGGCTGAGGCAGGAGGATCACGCACATTCTGGGATACACAGCGAGCTCCAATTGAGCCTGAACTACAGAGTGAGGCACTGTTTTCATATCACACACACATGGTCCACAGTCACGATTAATATTAATGCAGAAAAAATTCCAGAGTGGATGAGTTGAGGAAATACCAAACCAATCCCATCCTACTGTGTTCAAATGCCAGTTTCTGCTACTGACTGTGTAACTGGGTGAGCAACTTACACTATTCTCTAATTACTTCAGTTAACGAACACATGATTAACAGCATGGATTTCACAAAGGTGTGACAGAAGTGATCATTACTATGACCACTGGTAGTGTCATGGAATGCCTCGATCCACATAATCACAAATCTAAAGTTAAAAATTCATTCAGAAAGGAAAGGCTGCTATGAAGCTGCTGGAGGAATTTCCATACTCAATTTAACTGCACTTACCTAAAAAGAAAAAAGCTTCATGTTTAACAGTTACGCTAGATGGAACACAGAGCTCTCAAACTCTACAGCAGCTATCAAAATAATCAGTAACAGACTTCAGGGCCTTGTGATTGGTGTTTCTAACACCAGGCCTATATAAACAATATGTCCTATAAACAGAGGTAAGAATTAAGGGACATTTCTATTAAACGTATTAAGTGTGTACAAAAAGTGTTTTAAAGCATCACCTCTGACCCTCCCCACACCAAGAATGTCTTTTTTCAGTTACCAGAACTTTTGCAAAGAACATGTAACGTTTTGTCAACAGTGAATCTCAAAGTTTACAGATTGCCATATAAAACATTTGACTTCAAACTCTCAGAATGACAATGAAACTACATAAACAGATCCATTATCAGTTAAGATATTTGTTAAATGAAAATATGTACCTCATGGTAAAGCCTTGTGTCATTCATTCTGATAAGCACCCCATCAATTCTCAAGAAAAACCGCAACAGCAGAAAAAAGCTAGAAGGCATTACTCTCTGGAGAAAAAAAAAAGGGATGTTAATATTTTTCAAAGAAATTAAACATTTTATTACATTGTTGAAAGAAAAATAAAAAAGTTTTTTAAGACAAGATTTCATTATGTAGTTCAGGCTGACCTTGAACTCACCACATAGACCAGGCTGGCTTTGAACTCATGGCAATTCTCCCACCTCAGCCTCCTGAGTGCTGGAATTACAGGTGTGCACCACCACACCCAGCTTAAGAAAGATTAATTTTTAAAAAACTATTAGAAGAGGGCCAGGGCAGGGGATTCAGCTCAGCAGCATTAAGTGCCTGCCTTGCAAGCACGCAGTTGTGAGTTCAATCAATCAAAAAAAGAGGGCTACATTAGCAGTACAGATGCTCCTTGACTAACAATGAGATTACTGTTCCTATAAAGCCATCACAACTTGAAAATATCTGAGTCAAAAGTGCATTTAATATACCTAACCTATAGTTACAGCTTGTATCTAGATGTACCCCACAAAGCTTCATGTCCTTATAGGGACCTTTTGGAGGTGGCTGGGTCTGGGGTACGCGAATATGGATTATGGGTACGTGATAAATGGATTAGTCCAATGATTGGACTAATAGCATAGTTCTGGGTGTGGCTGGAAGGATTTACTGAAGACAGATGACCCAGCCTGGGTACAAACAGCACCACTCAATAGGCTTTTCAGTTTTAACAGAAATGAAAAAAAAAAAAAAAAAAATTAGGCTTGCAGCCCGGATGGACCAGAAAGGAAAAGAAGGCAGGCAGGCAGGCTCACTGCTTTCTGCCTTCCTCCCATGGACTGTTTCTCCCCTGCAAAGCCCCTCTGCCATGCTGCCCTCCCCCGTAGAGCCAACTATGGGCTGAAACCTCTACAAACTAGAAGCTAAAATAAGCCTTTCTTCCTTTAACTTGGGATGTCACATATTTTGTCCCAGCAACAAGAAAGTAACTAAAATGCCTGCTGACCATCACCACAGCTTAGCAACAAAGCACACCACAGAATATCGGTGGTTTGCCTACATGATCCAAGCTGAGTGGCCATGGCTTACTATCCAGCATCATGAATATCCTACCACATTCTGCCAGGCTGGGAAAAGAGCAAATTCTAAGTACAGTTTCCACTGAATGCACATCACTTTCACACCATCTTAAAGCCAAAAAATTCTAATGGAACCATCATAGTTGGGGACCATCTATATAAAAAAGTCCCTGACCCAGAGATTCTTTGTCCTAGCTTCAACTAATCTTTTTTAATTTTCTTTTTCCTTTAATGTAGGAGAAATGTACTACCACTCAACCTCTACTATAAGGTTGGCAGCCCTGAAAACTCCTTTTTTTAATGTAGCGTGTCATGGATATATTCCTGCTCCACAAGGAATGAAGAGAAGACATTTCCACATGCCAGCTCCAACTAGTCTTTAAAACCTTGCAGACTACTTAGCATCATGTAGCATCTTAACGTTTTCCCAATAGAAATTTCCCCCTGAGATCAAAAACTGAGATATAAAACTCTTAAAGCTTATCTAAATTATGAGAAAATTCCAATTGCATTTTTAAAACTGGTAATACTGATAGTAAATATCAGTACCAGTGAAATTAAAATTAAAGGACAATCTAGTTCTTTGTTGCTACTCACTTTTGTTCACTTTACACAAAATAAAGGCAACAGATGTTGAACAGAATGCTCTTGTTCAAAGCAACAAATTACATATTTCATATGGCAGAGACTGGTTCATCAGAGTTTACAACACATTCCTAACATCTTTCCTCTGTGGCGATCTACAAACTTCTATGCTTTCCAAACATAATTCCTGCACAAAGTTTAATCATTTACTAAATAAATATTTGTCTACTAAGTACCAAGGACTTACTACAATAGGACTTTATATAAATGAAAAGATAAAATCCACAAAGTTTACCAACTAGAGAAACAAACAGAAGTACCCAATGCTGGGGGCTGGGTATTTAGCTCAGCGGCATAAGCACCTGCCTTGCAAGCAAGCGGTGGTGAGTTCGATCCCCGGTACCGATAAAAATGAAAAAGACAAAAAAAAAAGACATACCTAAAGCTGCTGAAGTCACAGATGCCAACACCTGAGTTCACCATGGAAAGAATGGAATGGAAAGGAAAATTCCAGAAAGAAACAAGCACACACAAAAAGTCAAACATATTCAGAGAACTATTGATTGCCCATAGATACAAGACTCCACTAATGAAAAAACAACAGGATACGCTAGTAATGTTAGTGGATTACTGGCTGGAGAACCGCCAGTCACAGGCTGTGTTCTTCTCTGCCTTGGACTTTCACATTCTTGCTCCCTTACTGACCTTGTTTACTTGTCTGTCAGGTCTTAATATAAATGCCATTCCCAAAAGAAAGGCCTTTTTACCACACTATGTCACAGTAGACTTCTCCTGTCATTCTCTCATTCTGCTCCATTACAAATGAACACAAGTGTAAACATGCAGCTTAGCGCACAACAGTTGTCATTAATGACTTGCCAATGAAACAGAGGCTGAAGGCCATCTTTGCTGGAGAGAAGGTACTGGACCAAACTCCATTCTGAGGGAGCTATCAGCAACAGGTTTTAAAAAGCAAGGTTTATCATGAAGAAAGGCTACAGAAAAAAACCTGATTTATGATAATCTGATGCATCACAACAAATTGGGAAGTACATCATTACCTGAAACTTATACAGTGCTATTTAAAATTTATGAGACACAGAAATTCAAATATGTCTTCAAATCAAAATTAGTTGTTAATAGTCACATCACACAACTAGGCATGTTAAAGAATCACTTAGTATGAAGCGGGCATGGTGGCATCCGCCTGTAATCCCAGCACTTGGGAGGTTGAGGTAGGAGGGTCACTGCAAGTTCAAGACCAGCCTGGGCTGCCAAGTGATCTCAAGGCCAGCCTAAACCACATAGCAAGATCTGTTTCAAAAAGACAGACAGACAGACAAGAAAAGAAAAGAAAAAGAAAAAGAAAAAAAAATCACTCAGCATGGCCTGATGGGTAAGCTAGGGTTAGCAGCCCAGAGATCAGTGCCCAGTTTATCACAATTCACTTGGATATTTGAGGGCAGCAGGTCTATCTGGAGGTTTGGAAATGTGTGAGAATTTATTGTTGTCATAATGATAAGCAACCAATACTCAATTATAAAAAAGCCAGGCAAGTATAGTTAAAACAAAAATGCTTTGCTAAACTAACTTTACACTAAGACTTAAAAGTGAATTTTACAATAGGTATCCAACAAGAAGTATTCTAGACCCAACCAAAATTGTATGATATGATGTTAAGATTCAATGTGCTTCAAAGTGAGTCTTACTTTATGCCCAATGGTAAGAATGAAAAAAGATGTTAATTTAAACAAAAATCACAATACTCACAATTTTCACGCTCAGACTTGAAACTCCATGATCATGAAGTTCATCCTCAAAGAGAAGAACTTCTTCAAAAAATTTAATCTGTTCTCTGGCTTTCAATTTCTCTGTATCTATATGATCTGTTGTAGGTACAACCTGAAAGAAAAAATTACAACAGGTATGCATTTGTTTTAAAACTTTAAGGAACAACAGTCATAAGAAAGTGTTTGTCTTTATCAGTCTTTTTTGCATAGCCAGTACACATGTTTATCACTGTATGATGTCTACAATATCACAGATCAGAATGTGCCTGGCCTCTGAAAGACTGAACACACTACATAAACCTTTTGTAACAGCTTCTTTTCTTTTTTTTGGTACCAGGGATCGAACTCACGCACCATGCTTGCCTGGCAGGTACTTATGTCACTGAGCTAAATCCCTGGCCCTATAATAGCTTCTTAAAAAAGAGTTAAAGCCAGATATGATGGCACATGCCTATAATCCTAGCATTTGGGAGGCTGGGGCTGGAGGATGGCTATGAGTTCAGGGCCAGGCTAGACTACATAGTGAGTTCAAGGCCAGCCTGAACTCCATAGCAGAACTCCAATTCAAAAAAAAGGTCAAAATGCCTCATCTTTTACACAAGTCAGATTAAAATCAAGTGTTCTTCATTCACTATGAAAAAATTAAGCAATTGAAAATTGGCCTGATGAACAATTATCTTAAAAGGTAAAACCATCTTGGGGTTACTAAAGTACACTTTTAAGTATTCACTGAGAACTTAAAAATACTTTTCCCACTAGAATGTTACATATCTTAGATTCCCAAACTAACTCAAAACCTACAAAAAGAAAAAAAAATCTTTTAAGTAATGAGATAAACTAGAACTGTTACAGAAATTCTGGTGTAACTCCTGGCATGCAAAGGGCTTGGACAATGCTGGCCAGTTTTCCAATAGGTTATTCTGTAACCCACAGACACACATACACAGAACCCAGCAAAAGCACTGACAATCCCAAGGCAGAGCACAGTCTTTCTGGCAGTAGTACCAAACTATGACCTGTAGTATTATTTTCTATGATCTCCAATTTCATCATAAAATGTTTATTTTTCTATTCTTTGACAAGGTTTATCATAAACAAGAAAATGATTGTCACACTGTAGGTATTCAGTAAACAGTGGCTTTTTTTTTTTTTTTTTTTTGGGGTACCAGGAATCAACCTCAAGTCCTTGTTCTTGCCAGGCAGGCACTGCACAGCCCCAGCAGCTACTATTTTGCCTTACTAAATAGTCATGATTAGGTCATTTGATTCATGGACAGAACTATGAGATAGAGAGTAATTTGAGACGAATGGACAAGTATTAGAAGAAAATGATAAAAGATGTTTAAAGAGATTGCATAGATTTGGCAGAGACACTAAAAAAGTATTAACTGAGGTAGAGTGAGAAAGAAAGTAGCACACATGATTATCAAGAAGTGAATGTCTACGGAGCTGGACACTCAGAGGCTTGAGACAGGAGGATCACTGCAGGTTCAAAGCTAGGTGGGCTACATGATGAATCCAAGGCCAACCTGGACTACACAGTGAGAACCTGTTCTCAACCCTATTTTGTTTCAAGAACAAAACAAGTACACAGTTCTTCATTGTTCACCTACAGATAAACTTTTACCACTATGTAGTTGCACAATTTTTTTATTTTGATTTCAATTAAATTCTCATGACATAGGAACAAACATTTTTTCCCATCACTGGGTACTGAACTCAGGACTTTTGTATTAAGCTACATCCCTAGGCTTTTTTTATGTTTTTTATTTCAAGACAGGACCTGGGTAAGCAACTCTGTTTGCCCAGATTGGGCTCAATCTTGAGATCCTCCTGCCTGGGCCTACAAATGCTGGGGTTACAGTTGTGTACCACCATGTCTGGCTTTGGTGCTTTCCTCACACTGTATTGTGACTCATAAAATAAAATATTAAACAGGCCAAAGAGTAAGAAGACACTAAAAGGCACACATACAAGCTTCCTCCAACAACTAAAAAGCAAAGATTTAAGAGAAAAGTAAAAGCTCCACTGTAATGCCTCATCTTCTGACACTGTGCATTTAAAAAATATTTCATACACAGGCATACACCTCTTATACAGCCAGGACTTCAAATAGCATTCTTCTAAGGAAGGGCTAGAAAATTTAAAATCCCAACCAATATAATATAAAAAAATAAAAATCCCTCAGATCCCTATGGAAGTGGTCTTCCACATATAAATACTGTGCTAAGAAGCTACAGTACCAGCATTATGCTACTGCACATGTTACTGGTATATGTTATAAAAACAGACATACTTTAAGATCTAGTTCTTCTTTTTCTTTTTTGAGACAGGGCTTTGCTATGTAATTCAGGTTGGCCCTGAACTCACTATGTAGCCCAGGTTGGCCTCAAACGTTCAGTGACCCACCTGCCTCAGCCTCCTGAGTGCTGAGAAAACAGGCATGTGCCATCATGCCCAGCTGTTTCTTTTTTGTACCAGGGATCGAATTCATGGCTTTGCACTTACCAGTTGAGCCACTAAGCTAAATCCCCAGCCCTGTTTCTTCATTTTTAAGCAACGGATAATCACACCTACTATTTTGAGAATTAACAAAACCCTAACAAGTCTGCTTGGAAACAGTTACTCCATTTTTTAAGGGAATAAAGGAATATACATACCAACTCTAGATTGCAATGGAAGAATAAATATTTAGAAATATATCTTTCCTTCTTGCTAGTTCAACATCTTTTTTTTCTTTTTTCCCAGTACTAGTGATTGAATTCACAGTGTTGCATTTGCCAGACAGGTGCTTGTGCTGCTGAGCTAAATCCCCAGCCCTCTTCTTGCTATTTCAAATATATAAACTTTAGACTCCCCTGATATTTGAGATATTCCATTAACATAATAATAATTGCCATTCAACAAACACTGTGCTAAACACATTAATGTAAATCTTATTTATTACCTCTCAACTGGTATTGTCTCGTTTCCCAATGCGAAAAAAGGCCTTTGCTGCTAACTGCCGCCGATCTAAACCCAGATCTGTGTTCTGCCAAAGCTTGATCACCAGACAGTAGTGATCGCACCGACATCTATCACCAACACTTTAGAATAAACTGTTGTAGGTTGACATGTCAGTTAAGAGCACTGAAGATGGGAGCTTTCCCCTCCCCCACTCTTCCCTGTTTCTCCCACCGGTTCTGGCTAATGCTCACAGCTCATGCACTTCACAGCCCCCAGCAGGCCATCACACCATGACGTCACCATCACCCTTAGTGTATGAAGCTTCAGACTCCTGACAGTGAAATGACACCTAAGCTCTTGGAAAACTTTTTCAATTGGAAGAGAGGAAGGAAAATACTCATCTCCAAAGTTCTATAAGGGATTGAAAAAACCTTGCTCTCCCATTAGACTACAAAGGAGGAATTTCTGTCTGTTCTGTGCTATAACCATAGCTTCTAGGATTAAAGCCTGGCACCTGGTAAGAGCTCAAGAAACATGTTCTCTCAAAAACTAGTTTCTTCTGGATGAATGATTGGGGATAACAATGCACACTGTATGTACCACTGTTACCCCCCTCCAACTGATGTACTTTAAAATTTTGTTCTAGTTGTTTTCCTCTTCTTTTCTTTCTTTTTATATATGAATAAAATGGATTTGGAAAAAAAAAAAAAAAACCTGTTTCTGTCCTTGAAGCACAGACATTTGACTAAAGCTTGGAATAGTAGAGAAGCAGAAACTATCTATATTCCTAACACTCTAACCTCCAGAGTCAAAGGAACCCATTTACAACCCTCTTTTCTTAATAATTCTCCCTAAGTACCAATATATAACATAGCCGCCAACAACTTTCAGTAAAAATTATTTATACTCAAATAATTGTGTTCTTTATAATAATCTGTGATATTTACAGACATGAAGCCAAAACCATATTGGCTTCATTTCAGTCATACTATGGTATCTATAATATTTCTAAATACAGCTGTACTTCCAGTATGATACTGACAACTTCACCTTCCTGTGTTATGTCATTTAAGTGGGGCCTAAACAGATGCAACATTACACTAATATAGAGCTTTAGAATTTACAGAGAACCGTCCCAGGAAATATTTCATATCAAAACAGCATGGTAAGAAGAGTAGAATGGGTAAAAAAGGAAGGAACAAGATACACCTTGTACCAGTACAAATTCTCTATGATGACTGTTACCACTATGTATATCTAATATGTACAAGTAAAATTTTAAAAATGGCATGGTATTTTTTTAACCCAATTTACTTAAATTTGGATTAAATAATTGTCTAAACTTACATATATAGGGCAGGTAAGTCACATGCTCAAGTTGTCTGATCAAAAGTTCCATTTGCACATATATTTATGTGTAAAATTCTAAACTACTTGCCAGCAGATTCTGTCTAAAGTATCTCATAATTACACCAAAATACATGTTTCATTGGTCATGAGAATGTTACCGTTACAGCAATTTGCCATTCCACCAAACCTATTTGGGGGCTGGGGTGGGGGAGAGGAAGTTGTACTGGAAGTTGAACTCAAGAGTGTGTTTTTGTTTTTGTTTAAAGACATTATTTCAGTGTCATGATGAGACTATTACATTTAGCAATCAACCACATGGGTGCAAACATGAGTGCAAAAGAGTATACACTAAAACCCTTTTTTGGAATGCATTACATTTTCCACAAAGCAGAAGCTAAAGTAACCTATTCTAAGTTAGCCACAGACCCTGAGTTTTTTGTCCATACACAAGAGCACTGTCTAAAACACGTGTTCTCAGCAGAGAGGCCCTGCCGCCCCTGTGCCTAGCTGAGTCAGCACTCTGCTGTAAGCTGCAGCTTCTCTCTCATTTCTCTGGCTCTGCTTTGCTGCTGAACTGTGTTTCCCAGCAGTATTTAAAACCTGCCACTGCCTTAGCTCCTACTGCTGCTGGAGCTGTCGTAGTCACCTTAATTTCGTGGTTTGGCAAAGGATTGGCCTCCACCACCATAAGGCAAAGACCTTCTGCCTCCAGACTTTACTCCCTTCAAGGGTCCATAATGTGAAGGTTGACTGCGCAAACTGCCACAATCACTGTAGCTTCCACCAACTCAAACACTGCTTCCATCGTTACCAAATGCACTGTAGCTAATCCCAATGCCACCGAAGCCACCTGGACCAATGAAGTTTTCTCCATGACCACAGTTGCCTCCATGACCATCACAAAACTTTCCAGAACCACCTGAACCTCTTTGGCTAGATGAAACACTAGCCATCTCCTGCCTTGACAGGGCTTTGCTCACCTGACACCTGTGGTCACTGACAATATGGTATCTGTGAATCACAGCCTTATCCGCAGAATTGTGGTCATCATAGGTTATAAAAATAAAGCCCTTGTTCTTTCCAGTGCCTCAACCAGTCATGATTCTCTATACGGTTCAAAATAATCGGGGCTGGGGATTTAGCTCAGCGGCATAAGCGCCTGCCTTGCAAGCAGGCAGTCATGAGTTCAATCCCTGGTACTGATAAAAATGAAAAAGACCAAAAAAAAAAAAAAACCCACAAAATAATCTCCTAGGTGATGTGTATCAATCATCCTCTTTAATGCCACCAACAAAGTTCTTCCCATTGAGGTGGTGCCGGGTCTTTGGGAGATTTCACTGGAGACAGCTCTCTGGTTTGCATCCCTCTGCATCCACTTGGTGCGGCTGGTGTTCATGGCTGTGTCCACCTCCACCACACTGGTGTAAGTGACAACCTGAAGCCCCTGGAGTACTTGGATCTCTAAAGGCCACACAGTCCGTGAGTGTTCCCCACTGCTCAGAGTGGCTTTCCAAACTCTTGTCAGTTGTGTTGGAGCTCAGTCCTCTGAAGAAGAGCTTCCGCAGCTGTTTGAGCTCCTTAGGGGACACTGACTTGGACACAGCAGCAGTGGGGAGAAACTGATGTGGTGGTCACCAAGGAGTGCTCTCTCTTCAACTGCTGGGGGGTCGCCAGGGATCGCATCACTGCCCCTCAGTTTCAGCCAGGGTGGGGTAGGGTGTGGGAGAGTGCAGAAGGCTTGCCTGCCTGCTGCAGTAGGTCTGTGCCAGTAGGGAAGGACTGTGCTGGAAGCCAGGCAGGAAAGGAGAAGACTGCAACTGCCCTGAAAGAGGCGCCACCTTCCTTCTTGGTTAGCCTTTTATAGCATTCAGGTGGTGGGACACCCTAGGGTAGCTCTTCACACACAGCGCTCCCCTAAGCCTCTCTGCTTGGGCGTTTCTTACTCAAGTTGACATCAGTCAGCTGTCACACACTGGGACTTTTCAAGACTGTCTTAAACTTTTAAAAAGGAAAAAGGGCAGGGATGTAGCCCAGGCAAAGGCTGTGGGTTCAACTCTAATAGCGTGCGCGCATGCGCGCACACACACACACACACACACACACACACACACACACGGGAGAGGGGAGGGAGGGAGGGAGAAGGGGGAGACACGGAGAAAGGGAGAGACTCTAGGAAGGCAGATAACAGAGGAAGCACATTCTCAGTGGAGCCTGAGGAAGAGCACGTGCTAGCCCTGCTGACACCTGCTTTGCTCCCAGTGACTGCTGAAGATTCTGGTAGACACAAGAAGGAGTGAATGAGTGAACATCCTTCAGCTCCTGGGAGTGGTAATTTATGACAGCAGGGAATAGAAGATGAAACCCAGCGTGTCTGCAGTCTACCCCCTTTAAAATTTTCTTTTATTGTGAGACAGGATTTCACTAAGTTACTAAGCTGCCCAGCCTGGGCTCAAACATGCAGCGTCCCTGCTTCAGCCTCCCAGAGTGCAGTATTGCACACATGTGCCACCATACCCAGCCCAACCATACTTGTAAGAATAAATAATGCTAACTGGGCATAGTGGCTCATGCCTATAATCCTAGCACTTGGGAGGCTGAGGTGGGAGGATCGTTGCGAGTTCGAGACCAGCCTGGGCTACAAAGTGAGCTCAAGGCCAGCCTGAACTGCATAGCGAGACCCCATCTCAAAAAAGACCAAAAAAAAAAAGAATAAATAATGCTCAAGTAGGATGTAGTGATGCATGCCTGTTATCCCAGCTACTTGTGAGGCTGAGGCAGGAAAATCCCTTGAGCCTAGGAGTTCAAGGCCAGTCTAAACATCACAGTCCTCACCTCAAAAATCAGTCAGTCACATTATGTTCTGAAGCCTGCCATATGAGAAAATAAGTGGTCAAAAAATAATCCATTACTAGAAACTTCTAAAGCCGAGATGTGTCCAAGACAATTAATGACTCGTAACAGCAAAAAGTAAGGTTTACCTTTAATTTAAGAGAGTCTCCCAGGAGAGTTCCTTTATAATCTGTTGTATAGGTCCAATCATATGGTTTAACAACCTCTTTAGAGTGCTCCCCTTCCGTCCTCAAAAACCAAAGAAAGAACGGTCAGACTTAGTGATGCAGAATACATATCATCTGCATGCATATCACACAAAATTACATTCTACAAATTATATGGGATATCCTACTAAATACATACATACACTTCTAATTCATTAGCATACTTTTTAGCATATTTTTTAACTTGTGATGTGCTAATGTAATCATTACAATAATTTTCCAAGTACTCTGTCCACTGGCTGAGGACATGATTTTAAGACTACAAAGGTATCTAGTAAACAGCAGGCACAAAGTAAATGGCTAGGTATCTAGTAAACAGCAGGCACAAAGTAAATGGCTGATTTGATTCTCAAAAAAATGCATTTTTCTTAATTGTAATGATCCACAAATATTCAATGAAAATCACATGTAATCAGTTTTTCTTTAAGAACAGCAACACTAAATGTATTGCTTCTTAACTAAGAAATTAAAGCTTTAAAAAAGTTAATTCCACTTGGCTCAATGTAACCTAATGAGTACTCAACCAGCAGAATAATTCTCCATTCTGTGAGAAAAATAAACTGTAGAATAACTCAACTTCTGTGTAAAGTTTAATAATAACATCCCCCCTTCACATTACTAAAACACAATTGTAATTCTTTTCTTTTTTGACTGATAATTGCCTCAATTTTTACCTGCTTTCCTGCCACTCTTCAGCACAAGCTACTTTAAGCATTCCTTGGTAATTGTTTACGCATTTTAACGCATCTGTAGCATTGAACTCAATCCCAAAGCCAGAACCATGCTGGATTCTTAAAACGTTGTCTCCAAACATCATTTCCGGGAGAGATGGCATATGCAACTCATCTGCTAACCTGCATGAAACCAAAAGTTAGGTAAGATTATTTTGTATCAGTACTCACATTTTTTTCTTTTTCATTCCAACATAATTCTCCTTACATTACCGAATGGGTTAATAACATGATCTAAAAAACATATATTTATAAGATCTATTACAAGATGATGCTTTTATCATCTATTCTTTTATTATATTTTTATGGCACTCTACTAGATGGGCTAAAAAAAGAGCAAAAAGCAAATACACAAATTTGTAACACAGTATCAGCTAGTATAAATCATAAATAAAAAGTAAAGCAAGGTAATTGGGTAGGGAACTTCAGGAAGATCAGAGATCATTCTGAAATTTGAGCCTCAGCACTACTCTGTGAGAGCCGGGCATGGCAGTGGTTCACACCTGTAATCCCAGTATTTAGGAGGCTGAGGCAGGAGGATTGTTGCTTGTCCTGGTACCAAAAACAAATCCCCCAAAACAAAAACAAAAACAAATAAAAAGACTACTTTGTGAGATAAGAATGCCTTGGAGGGTTTAAGTAGTTAACTTATGATTGCACAAGTGTAAGTGGTTAACAGCTGGCATTTTTCTACTATGCTAGTTTTCTTTATATATACTGCAGCCTCATTAGAGAAGACACAGTATACTAAAAATATCAAAATTATAAATTAGTAATCCATACATCTATTTTGCTGGCCTGAACAAGTTTTTTGTTTATTTTTTGAAATATTAGCAGTAAGAATTGAGATTTCAAATCTGGATTTCTGATTTATAAAAAAATATGGCCCTACATTGCTATATAGGACCAAGTGGCTGGAGATAAGTAGTTTTCTCCAGTTCACCAGTCCTTCTGGCACTCTAGAAAGCTAAGTTGATAATCCTTGCTCAAAGCTATTTTGCTTTTTTTCTGTGGTGCTGGGATTCAACCCCGGGCCCTCAAATCTATCAAGAGGCCTCTAGCTACTTCTAAAAAAAAGTAGCTGTATGTGTAAGTCACAGTACAGAGCGTTGTGATCGTATCACCTTGTTTACTGTATGGACTTTCAATTCCAGGGTGAAAATTCAACACCTTAACCAAAAGCGATTACCTTTGGACTGGATGGATTTCCTGAATCTTATCCTAACAAAAATCAATTAATCCATTCTGATTCTCTGAGAAATGTGAGCGTCAATCAAAGTACAGACCAAGAGAGATAGCAGAAGCCATGAGGCAGAAGAGACAGAGCAAAGGAAAGCATAGAAAATCAGTAACTCAACCACTATACAAAGTTTAATGATAACACTAGCCCTTCATACTACTAAAACATAAATGTCATTCTTTCCTCTTTTGTTTAACCTATAATTGCCCCAATTTTCACCTGCTTTCCTGCCACTCTTAGCACAAGCTGAAGAATAGAATTCAACAGTTGATGGACCACAAAAACTGCCCGTTTCTGAGATTATTCCTACATTTAATTATTTCTTTATGCATTCTCACTACTTTAGGCAAACTAGGCCTCCATTTCTTGCAACTCGAAAACTAACACAGAGATTCCATACAGTATATTTTCCAGTTACCTTACGTACAAATTTAATGACTTTGGAAACTTCTCAAAATGTTTTAAATTTTTCTGTGTTGTCTTAAAGAGATATGAAACTACTGATTGGGCTGGGGATTTAGCTCATCGGCATAAGCAACTGTCTGGCAAGCACAAGGTCATGAGTTCAATGCCTAGTACCAAAAAAAAAGAGAATTCTGCAAAGCAGGGCATGTCTATTTAGCTGGGGATTTAGCTCAGTGCATAAGCACCTGCCTAGCAAGTGTGAGGTTGTGAGTTCAATTTCTGATACCAAAAACAAACTACTGACCACCATTTACCAATATTTACAATAAACAATACACGTACAGTCAAATGTAACATTTTGGTTACTAGAAAGTTATTGGTTTTCCCAGCTTCTGCTGAATCAGTAACACAAATACTGCGAGTCAACAAGTTAAATTATAAAAGTTGGTTCACTCATTTATGTCGCCAGCTCTTAAACTGCTGAACAATCCTAACCATCTGATTAGGTTTCCCTGAGCCAAATCTCAGTCCATGAATCATGACTTTTTGCCAGCATAGCACAGAGATTTCAACTTTTTGTGAAGGACTAGCTCACAAGGAGAATTGTAAGTATCTAAAAAGTCTTGCGTGGATCACTGAAACACATTAGGATTTGTCTGTTTTCTCATCTAAGTAGTTAGCAATGATAAAATTTCCTCTTTGAGGAATTGTGCAAAATAAACTGCATCTACATGACATGGCTGCTTTTAAATTATGCAGTTTATACTACTGGCTTGTTTGGGTCCTTAAATAGAAAACATAAAGGCCAGGGTTTTAGATCAGCAGCATAAGCGCCTGCCTGGCAAGCGCGAGGAGTTTGATCACCAGTACAAAAAAAAAAAAAAAGAAAACATAAAATCTTGTTTAACCGTTTTGATGATCAACACATTCAACAACCATGTAAAACAATATCCTCAAGTCCAACTGAGGCTGTGCATCTCTAGCTGCTCCAGAAGCACCCTCACCCCTTTTATTTAGTTTCTAACACATTATAGCTACAAAGCCAATTAACACACTTCTTAAAAGTAAAAACAAAACATGAAAAATAAACGTCAGGGCAAAGAAACTACAGGGAACTTTTTTCTGCCCTACAGCTTCAATATGGTTACAATTATAAAGTGTAATGAGTTTACATTTGCTCTGAGTTAAGGTAAAAAAGATGCTTTAAAACGTGCAGGACTTTAGTCCAACTGCCCTATGACAGCTAATTTAGTATATTAACCTTTCTTTTCCATCTTTTTAAAAGACTTCTGGATTTCTGAATAGCTAAGTAGCTACAAATACTAGGTAAGGACATGCTAAGCTATAAATCCAGCACTTGGGAGGCTGAGACAGGAGGATTGCCATGAGTTCAAGGCCATTTTGAACTACAGAGCAAAACCTCATCTCAAAAAGAAAAAATAAGAATAATAATACCATGCTAAAGAATATATTCTCACATCAACAAAGAATCCATGTATATCCCAGGTCACCAGTTATACTCTTTCCAATTGCCTTAAACTTATTCCCAATTAAGATGCACCAGGAGAAAAGTCAGCACCATACTGTATTCAGAGTATCTTAAACACATGCCTAAATGCTCTACTTTTTTTTTTTTTTTTTTTTTTTTGAGACAGGGGTCTCACTCTGTGGTTCTGGCTGGTCTTAGACTCACTGTGTAGACGAGGTTGGCAGCCTCTTGGGTGCTGAGATTTACAGAGCTGCGTTGCCACAACTGGCTTCCACATCACTTTAAATGTTCCATCATGAGAGGGTTTTTTTTTTTTTTTTGGTCTTTTTGAGACAGGGTCTTGCTATGTAGTTCAGGCCATCCTAGAGCTCACTATGAAACTCAGGCTGGCCCAGAACTCAGAGATCCTCCTATCTCTACCTCTCTGTGCTGGGATTACAAATGTGCACCACCACACCCAGCTTTTCACAGTATCTTAAACATTGGCCCAAATACTCTATTTCTCTATCTATGTGACTATGCAACAGAAAGTTACAAGAGAAAATATGAAAACAGTAACTTGATCTGGATGATGAAAGGAAATTTTTTCCTCTCTTTTCTAAATTTTCCTAATATTTTTCAACGAGAAAAAAATGCAAGTGGCCCTGTGGGTTTAGCCCACTGGTGTAAGTGCCTACTTGGGAAACTCGAGGTCATGAGTTCAAACCCCAGGACAAAAAAAAGAAAAAAATGCAAGTGCTCCTCAGGGTGAGATCATCTAATGACCTTTGCTTCCAGATAACTTCTTAAATGATTTTAATTCACTTCCAAGGTTCCAGGTGCTACTATAAACTGATGACTCACAAACCTAAACCCAGAGACCTCACTTTAAAAAACAAACAGAGCATCTCAGTTCAGGCTGGTACTGAGGACTCTCCTACCTTAAACTCCCACAGGCTAGGATTACAGATGTGCACAACCATTCCTGCATTTTTTTTTTTTTACCAACAAGGTAAATATATCAAATTTATCCTAAACATTTCCACTTTATGATCTTCAAGACCTCAAATTTCAACAAGCTAACTTACCTTGTATTCACTACCTGGTCCCAAACTCCCTTTTCTCCTGGGCTTTTCACTTGGTTCAACGGCAATGCTTCCCTCACAACAACCCAAGCTAGACATCCTGCCATCAGTATAGATTCTTCCTTTTTCTTTCTCCTCATATGAGTTGGCATCGAAACAAGAGACTTCATCTTCTAAAGTCTCTCCTATCGTTTCTCCCCCACTAACTACTCTCCTTCCAGCGCGGTGGCCCTCCAACCCATCCTCCATGTCATCTCCCCATCCCCCCCCAAAAAGACGTGAATAATGCAGCTTCTCTGGATAAAATTACACCTGGTGGTTCTTAAATAAAATTGAAAATTCTTTAACCTGGAATAAAAATTCCCTCTGTATCTCGATTTTCCTGGAGCCATTCTTCATTTCTCACCACTTCACGCCCCAGTCACATGGCCGCAGCTCTTCGCACGCACACAGTTGGTTCTCACGGTGCCTGATCACCCTTGAACTCCAGTTACCCTGGACTCCTTGGGGCTCACCGCCCTAGCCCAAGGGTCCTCCCAGGTGCAGCGCAGCCACCCCGCCTCCCCGTGCGCTTTATCCCCTAGCAGGTCTTAAATCACTCCTGCACTCTATTCCTTTAAAACAGTTATCCCCATTGCAACAGAACAGGCTGCCTCCCAACACTAGCAAATCCCCAAGGCGCGGGTTTTCTTTCCTGTTCCGTTGCTCAAGTATCTGCCATTGCACCTGACAAGCTAAAATCTCTAAAATCCCAAACGGGTCTCGCACACTCAGGAGGAACGTGGCGCAGGCTAGAGCAGGAAAACCGAAGCATGGAAGCCACCACGGCGCTCAAGGCCAAGAGGGGGCTGACCAGCGCCCGGTGCACCGGGCCAAACCTCGGGAGGCGGAGACGCGACCATTCACTCAGCTGTCAATCAAACGTCTGGACCCACGGGGACCCAAGAGGCCACGCCGAGCCCGCCCGCCTCCAGCCTGGCCCCGCAGCCTCACTTCTCCACATCTGCTGACTTCATGATGTGGGTTTTGGCCGCCGTCAGCTTCCAGGGCCCGAAGGAGAAGTTCTGGTGGCTGCTCTGGAAGCCGTGGATCATCATGGCTGAGGTGCGCGCGAGCTGGGGCAGCGGAGGCGGCGGCAGCGGCAGTGGCGGGGAGCACCGGTCCCTCAGCCTCGCTGCGGCCCCGCCCCCTCCCCTTTCGAGCCGTTACCATGCCCCGCCCCGCCCCGCCCCGTGCCCGCGACCAGGACACCGCCCTGCTTTCCGCTTTCCTCCCCGCCCCTTCGCTTTTGCTTCCGGGGTGAGTTGATACACTACGTGACCCACGTTTTACGTTATGACGCACCGGAAACAGGAAAAGAGACCGCACTGGGGGCGTGGTTTAGTAAGGGGTGTGGTCAGGGAGTAGAGGTCCCCTTCAACTCTGCGTGACGTAATCCCGAAAGAAGCGCTGAAGGAAGGGGGGCTCCGGAATTGGAAAGGCAATAGTCACGTGTAAAACATGTCTCGGTAATCCGGACGTGGCGGCGCATGCTTGTAATCCCGACACTAGGAAGGCAAGAGGATCGCTTCGAGTTTGAGGCTAGCCTGAACTATGAAGTGAGTGCAAGACCAGCCTGAACTGCATAGTGAAACCTTGTCTCAAAAACAAAGAAAGTCGTGACCCGGTTGCTTACAGTCTTCCAAAGCAGTGTAATACGAATTGTGCTAGGGAAACTACGATATTTTCCCATTAAAACCAAAAACTAGTAATCTCTAGGAATATAAGATGTCCAGCAGCTACATGATTTAGAACTGGCCATCTAGCTACTGCTGACATAGACTGCTATCAAAAGTTTTATCCTTCCTCATGATGAATGTAATTATGTATTCCAAACATGTACTAATAAACATGTAAGCCGGGGCTGGGGTTTAGCTCAGCGGCATAAGCACCTGCCTTGCAAGCAGGCGGCCAAAAAAAAAAAAAAAAAAGTAAGTTGTTTTCATTCGTAAGACCTAGTGCATGGTGACAATCACCTGTAAGCACAAAAGCATGAACCCAAGAGTATATTAATCGAGTTTCTTCTGGTTGAAAGTAAAAGAAACACTCTCAAAATGCCATTAGCAAAGGAGTCGTCTTTTTTTTTTTTTTTTTTTTTCTTTTTCTTTTTATCGGTACCGGGGATAGAACTCACGATCGCCTGCTTGCAAGGAAGAAAAAAATAAAATAAAATAAATAGGTACTTATAATTACCTCAAGATATGTGAGGAGAAAGTGAACAACTAGGCCTCAGGAAGGAAGGACGAGGCACTGGAAAGTCGGAGGTGCTGAGTGACCCTACAGTCTCTCACAACCTCTCTCCTCTTGAGTCCACGTGTGTGCTTTCTTCTCCTCTCTTCATAGAACAGTCTCTCTACTTCGCTTAATGTGTAGCCCCCAAGCATCCCAGCAGACATCTTGATAGGGCTCACGTCAGATTCCCAGCAGAGAAAGTCTAGTTGGCTCAGTTGAGTCAAATATCCAGCAAGGCTGAGTCAACTAACTAGATTGGCTTTGCTGGTACAAGTCTGGGGGTTTGGGGACAGTTGTTCTCAGAGAGGTGTATACTTCCACCCCCAGAGTTGTGGACTTCATGCTAATTAGGAGAAGATTTTAAAAAGGTCTTATTATGGTACAGCTAGTGACCACCTAGAAATGGGGAATGGGCAGATTGATGGGCTCTTACCTGTGATTCAATAAAAGCATTAATTTGTGATTTCTGTTGGCATAGTCAGGAGTTTAAAAACTGTCTTTGCTATGAGCCATGACTTCACTTAGGCATACAAATAGATGCCCATTAGGTAGCTTAAAGCAAAATAAAGAAAAAACATATGGATATGTGTATATATATAAAATAGTTAACTTATACTACTGATTTCTCTGAGTTCACTGAAAAAGATTTGTATTGGTATTTTTCGGACAATTGAAGGCAGATGTCTTGTGCTCTGGGTGAGTGATTTGGGGATGACAAGCAGTGTTATATACCATTGTTACCTCCTGATTGATGTGCTTTGAAATTTTATTGTTTTTTTTTCTTTTTTCTTTCTATGTTTGAATAAAATGGATTAAAAGTACAAAGTTTGACCTTTATTTCCTATCCTTTGTTACCGTGAATCTTGGATGAAAACTATTCTCAGCTCCATGTAGAGGTATTTTGATCCTTTATAGAGTGTGTATCTAGGAGCTGGCTAGATAGGGTTCGTTAACCCTGAACATGTGGGTTTTTTGTTTTGTTTTGTTTTGTTTTTTTGTATTGGGGATTTAACTCACAACCTTACGCATGCCATGCAGGTGCTTATGCCACTGAACTAAATCCCCAGCTGGCAGTTAGCCCTGAATTTACAGGATCTCACACACTTCAAGACTCAGGACAGGAAGACAAGAAATTTACAGGGGCCTTCATCTATACCCAGAAGCCTCCAGTCATTGCCCTGCACCTTGATCACCTAGAAAAGCAAAGCCAGCCTCACATGACTGAGGCCACCACAGACATAATCCAGTCCTGGAAACAGAACCATGCCCACCCATAAAGATTCCAGAACTGTGACACCAGGAGTGAGACAATGATCAACTGGGTCCAGCCCAGCAGCTCATCCATGAATGCTGGCCTCTGCCTTTGCATATGGAGCAGTCTGAATGCCTGTATTACAGTGTTCCCCCTCCACCTACCTAAGCTGAAGTCCTTTCCTATCCTCCCTCTAACTCTCCGATTAAAGGTCCATTTCCCCTGTATAGATTTGTGGTTTAGTTTTAATTCCCATTATCATTAAAAGCAAAGACCCAAGCTAGCCAGGGACCCAAGCAAGTAGTAGAATGGGATATGAAAAACAGACATTGAAAGAGAACTTATAAAAGTTAACCTCAATCCACTTTACAATTTCTGGTGGCCAAAAGCAGACCATACTGTCTAAGCAGCACCTGGCAAGATTTGAGGCTCGTGTCAGGATGGATGGTAAGGCAAGTATTAGGGTATATGTAGGTACTGTGTGTTGTAGTGCAAAATCAAAATCAAAATCACTACATGGTAGCTCATATATGCAAAGCAAGGGATTACCAGCTTACATAAACATGGCTGTATGTCTTTTATATCCATAGTCGTAACCAAACACACCCATTTGGATTATAGCAAATTGTCTTAGAAGAATTCACACTTTCTACTTCAACTCTGAGGCCATTTCTCTCTATCTGAGGACCAATGTGAATTTTCACCACCCTGAAAAGCTGTTGAGTTCCAGTAGCTGGATGCTACCTTGTGGCTATCCTTACAGTGGTCCCCAACTCAGGCTGTGGTTGGTTCTTACAGTGACTTACAATAGAGATCATAGCTGGAATCTATAGTATTTTGGTGTTGATTTTTTTGGCATTGATGACCCTCTTTTGCCACTGAAGTTGTGACAATATGAGCATTGTGATGCCTGTGTGTTTATAATACATGCATACATTGTATCATTTATGCATCCTGCATAAATGTATCATGGATCAGTAGCAAATGAGTTGCTGGAACAGAGGGAGATAGCCCTATTTTAGAATAATTTTCAGAGGGAATCTATATCATGATAACCAGAATTAATGACATCTAATGAAATAATCGTGTCTGCTTTATGGAGGGTTGGTGGTGTTTTAGTATATATTGGCATTCACTTGGTGACTTAGGAAAATACAAACACATGAAGGACTTTGATTCATTTGCTACTTTAAGGTTAAAAGCAAATCACTGGACAGTTCTTCATAAGACATATTATTCTTTTTTAAATGTCTTTGATAGCAATAACCTCTAGGAAAGGATGGGTTGTTTAATATGTACTTTAATTCAGGTCACCAAAATACCAAGCTATAAAATTTCAGCAGATGACAATCATATAACCAGTGGAACTTTTATATGCAAATTTATCATGACAGAAATGGAGCAAATGCACCAGGAATTAATAAAATAGCCAATAAGGAAACATGGATTAAAACAAAACCAAACAGAACAATAAGAGGAATTCATGCTGTTTTTATCCAGAGATGCTGCATGGTAAAAATGGTTTACTTTCTTTTCCCTACATATTTTGGAGAAAAAAATAGAATAAAAGAAACTGGGGCAATTTACATGCAGGGAGTTTGAATAGACAAATATAGCCTTTCTGGTAAACTGTAAATTTAAATTCAAAGTCTAGATGCTGGAGTGAACTGGTAAAGGTAGGTGGCGGGGAGCCAGGGATCAAGATCTTAGATTCAGTGGGGCTCAGGCCTCTCTCCTGGGGCACAGAAGCAGGAGGCCTTCAATTTAGAGGTGAGCTGTGGGCCTGAAAGCAAGCCCCAGGAGTGCAGCATAAGTTCTGTGAACAATGATAAAAATAAAGATCCTAAAGGGTAATTGTTGTCCTGGGATGGGATCAATCAGACCAAGCTGAGCAGAGAGGAAGGAAGGATTAGCTTTGGCAAGAGAGCTCTTCCTTCAAAATAAGCATGCTCTGGAGGAGTCTCTTCAGTGGATAAGATTAGGGATCTTGGCTCCTGTTTTGGTTTGGATCTAAATGTCTCCCCAGGAGCCTCAAGGACAAGGCAGCAGAGACTTTAGCTCATAGACAGGGCTTTGGGAAGATGATTGGTCGCCAAGATGCTATAGCTAATTTCTGCTAAGGGGTGCATGGGTAGGAAGAGGAGGGCCACCGGGGACATGACCTGGGACGGTGGCTTTTCCTTCCTAGCTCCTCCCTCCTCTCTGGGGTTCCAGACCACCAAGCCTGGAGAAGCTTTTCCCCTATCGCAGGCCTCTACCCTGTCATTTTCTACCTTGAAGCCGCCAACCAAGGACTCTCACTGGGAGCCAAAATAAATCTCTCTTCTTTTACATTGTGGATGTTGGCTACTGTGTCTTAGTGACAACAAAATGATTGAGACATCTTCCCGCTTGCTAGC